TAATTATTATTTAAACATATTAAAAAGTTTTACGCTCATTATTAATAAAGATTGAAACTAAATATTTTTTTGTTTCGAAGTTGAAATCAAGGCATATTCACTGCCAAAAGTCAGTTAAAAATTTTCCATATTATTCGTTATTTCTTATTTTATTCAAAGTTTTTGGTCAAATTCCAAATTTTCTCTCAAACCGTATACTTTTCTTTTAGTGTTGATAGTATTTATTTACCTCATGATATGCTGCAAAACCTAATTAATCACGAATTTCTAATTTTATGTACTGTTGTCTCCGATATTACCTCCCAAACATCCTTAACTAGAATGAAATTATTAATTTTTGTATTATATCTGTACGTCTCGACGACTAGCCGGGGGTCTTTCTCATCCCAGCGTTTTCAAATTTTCAACAATGAAATTACTAGACGATGCTCAACATCGAGTTGAACTTGGCTTCGTACTCTAGTAATCTTGTCGTAAATATCTCTCCCGAAGCAAAATTTTCTATGTTCTTTGTCTGAACCCATTAATAAAGTATTGTCAATGTTTGAATCGTCCTTTTTTGATTGTGAGTAGATGAAATTGTAATCATGAACTTGGCAATAGCACGGTTACTAATCTTTTATCTTTTCGCGACCAAACAAAAACAGCATCCATTCCACCTTAAACATTCTAATGCAGAAAATAATTTTCTTTAAATATGAAACCTTTTTTGTCAAATACGTAATTTATGCTAGCTAGTTCTAGCATGTTGGCAGAACTCAGAAATAAATTTATGTTTCATCATATCTCGAAGATCGATTTTGTACAATTAAGCGTTCATTTGTGTTTTTATGAAATCCGTCATGTCTGGTATCAAATGTGCGTATAAAAATTATGCTTTTGACGTTTGAACAGTCGTACATAGGTAAAGAAGAAAAATCTCTTCTGATAAACCTGTGATGCTATGTATGTATTAAGATCTTGCTGGCGCATGAAGCGTTCGAAGGGCGGCGCTTTCCTGAGATTTAGAATCGAACGTAATCCTTCAGTGAATATGAGAATTAATCTCTCCAGTTCTTGCCCTAATCGCTATAATAATTCATTCGAAATCAAATCTCTATCGACCGACTCCAGATTCGCGATTGGAAGAGTCATATGTACAGGGTGGTAGTAGATTATAAGATATTTGGCTAATAAGTAGATAGTTAAAAGAAAAGTCACAATAAAAGTGCATGCGGAGTCGGAAACATTGGTATTTATTTGCTAGCTGTTTCCAGGAAAGAATAAAAGTAAACTAAATATTTTCTTCATTTCTCTTCGAATGTAGAAAGCTAATATAAATTCATAGTTCTCGAAACGTATAGGTACTGGGGGATTTTGTCGAAAAACCGAGCGGCATGGCCTAGAGGTCTAGACCATTGTTTAGCATTCGGGAGGACGCCGGTTCGATTCCGGGTCTGTCCGTCTGCCTTGGTCCAAGTTTTTCTGTGGTTTCCTTGGATCACTTAGGCAAATGCTGAGGCAGTAATATTCCATAGATAATCTTTCACTCTCTTCTGTCTTCATTTCGTCCGTCTCATCTTTCTCACCCGAACCACCACCCACCCATTCCCACGATTCCTGAAAGCAGGCTGAAGAGGG